GCAGCAAAACTACCTCGAAAAAAAAAACTGAAAAAACCATGGTTGGAAGCCCCATAATACTACTACTAATGATATTTGATATTTCCTATTCAAATAATGATGTGAATATAATAATCTACTTATCCACGAGTGTGGTTTTGATTAGCTAAATAATTGTAATAAAATATGCGTAACATCCACGGATGTATTCACAAGAACTCCCTGATTATGTAATTTTTATTGTGTGACTACGCAGGACGCGACAATAAATCATATTTGTGACTTTCTAATATTTTTTTTAGCTACAAAAAACTTTTTTTTCGATTTTCAAGCTCTTAGTTTAAAAATTTTAAATTTTATAAATTTTGATTACAAAAATGTAACGAATTTATTAATCGTAATTGTTATTGTTTAGTCAAAATTGTATGTAAAAAAGCTTGTATTTTTTTATTTAAATTATGCTAATTTTTTTTCTTTATCTAATAAAATATATGCATATGAGAAACTTCGTATTAAAATTCCAAAACCTTTTGGACTAAAACTTTTTAAAACTAACATAACTTTATTGACATTTTCAAGAAAAGACACAAGAAATCATAAAAATTTCAACTCTCTAAAAATAATTAAAAAAAAAAAATGATTGAAAATAATACCATTCAAAGAAATCAATTATATAAGATTTAGTGAAAATGTCATATTTTTACAACTATTATTTTTTGAATTACAGTGAAAATGAAAATTTGATTTTATCGAAAACCGAATGCCGTTTTTTTTTGTTGTAATTTTTCATAAGTTTTTTGCAACTATTAGGAAATATTGAAAAATCTGTAAATGACCCCTAGTAACCTAAACACAAAGCTAGAATCCATTTTTATTTTATTCTTTTAATTCTTTTTACTAAAATTCTTTTATTTTTTATTTAATCTAAAACAGAAAGAACACTATTAGCCTCGTAGTAGTCGTCATTATTTCCGGGCCGTGAACATCAGATAACTACTGTTATTCGCATATCAATTGAACGTCTTATTATTGTTATTATTAAATGGTCGTGTATGTGTATAACAAACAGCCTTGTACATCAACTAATTCAGAGAATGAGTGTGAGATAAAGAGAGAGAGAGAGAGAGAAACATACACACATTCACACACGTGCGATGGAGACGGTAAACAAAATAAAATATGTCTGGATCTCGTTCGTCGAGAACACCCCGAGCGGCGGTCGAGTCGACGTCTACAACAGTTAATCGTCGTGCCGGCTCTATAATATTTTATACTATTGCATACGTACGCGTTGATGACATACGATTGACCCTAGACCCACGAGTTCCTGTACACAGGGAAATTGACAATGGATGACGTGTGCACATAACACGACAGAAGTAAGTAGAACAATATAGTCGAAACTACCCATTTCGTCAATTATTTTTAATAATATCATAAAACGTGGACAGACGCAATGAGTACACGTATCTTCTACCTACGGCTCTCCTCATCCCGAACCCATACTCCGGGCCGCAAGATACTTGCATTGGCTGCGCCACGTGACGCGAATCGCAATTCACGTAACTTTATATGTTAATAATCGACGAGCTTTCCGATCTTCGAATTCGTGTGCATAGCCGGTAGACCTCTGCACGGTCTGGTCTAGAAAAAAAATTAATCTAGTCTGGTCCGTCCGCCTTGATTTCATTAAGATAATAGTCTTAAATTTGAACAACGATTTAATATTTTAATATAATTATACGTATATACATTGCATAGTAAAATAATACACAACATAATAATACGTTATTTTAACTCTGTTTATAATGTTTTGGGTCACTAAAATAGCTCGTCGCGTTTTCTATTTTTGAATATCGGTCCGATCTCGGTCTTTTTTGGTACTTTCTCAATTATACGATTCACTCCAGTCTGGATTCATATTTTATTTCATCAGTCCAGAGCAGACGGGTCTTGGTCTTAGTTACAACGTATCAGTCCGGTCGGGTCTTTAAAAAAACGGACTATGTAGAGTTTTAATAACCGGGTCTAGTAATTTGGCTACACCAATCAGTGGGGTACCTGTGGGGGGGCAAACAGGGGCATTTGCCCCCCCCCTCGAGAAGTTTTTTGATGCTATAATGCAAATAAATTGTTCAGCTTAAATAATGTAAATTATAAATATTTTTAATTTTCATTGATTATAATCTTGTTTGATATCAAACGTTTTTGATATTAGTTATCAATATAATATAAAATATCAATATTCGACCGAATTGAGATCAAGAGCAATGGTCATATATGGTCACTATTTTATAATATGGTTTTCATTGATATCAAGTGATCAACATGAATTTTAAGTATTTAGTAATAATTTATTATAAAGTTTCAGATTATATTATAACCATAAAAAATTGTGTAATTAATTTATGCCCTCTCTAAAAATGTTTCACAGGTACGCCACTGACACCAATGGGTAACATTTGTAACTTTCAAGTTGTTCTTGCTAATTTTCACTTGCATTTTGATATAACTAGGTATTAATTGTAATTATGTTGTTATTTGTTCAATCTTTTATTAGCACTATGTCGTACAATAAATATATAATAATATAACATACATAACTAAGTTAGACATTATTAAACGAAAAAAGAAGAATGTTTTGTGTCTGGTACATTATTATTTTTTTATTTTTACACAAAAATTTTAGTATACATATCTTTTTCTTACAATTAAAAATATCGATTTGAGCATCTTTGCATTAAAAATTACAGTATACAGTTCGAACAATGGATAACTGAAGAGAATACAGAATTATGTCTGTAATGTGAATTGAATTATTATGAAATACCATCACGATAGTGCTTTACTCAGCAAGACGAAAAATGATTTGACACAGAGTATAATTATTATTTTGATCGCATGCAGATTCATCTAAGGTTGTTATCAATTTCGTTCAGAGTATACTATGCTGTCGAGTATCTGAATTTGGACATTTTTATGATTTAGATCAGGGGTCGGCAACCGTTTTGGTGTCAAGGGTCAAAAAATAAAAATAAATTTTTTCACCGGCCATAATTTGAATACACCTTATTTTATTTAAACGAAATATTGTAGTAATTTAAAATGTAATTTATTTAAGTACATCACTGATTGGTACATTAATTATCGAGGTATCTACAAACAAAGTTATAATAATAATTATACGTAATAATAATAATAATAAAATACATAGTAAAATATAGTATAATATTGGAAAAATATATAAATAAAAATTAATGTGATTTTTGAGTTAGAATAGCATCAACAAGTGTATTGATAGCAGGTTTTATTTTCGATGTAGAAATTCTCAATACAGCGTTTAAGTGACCATCGGTTAATCGCGAAGCATATTTGCTTTTCCGATATTTCATTAGGGAAAAAGTTTGTTCACAAATATAAGTGCTTCCAAATATGGTCAACATTTTTTTAGCAAAATATTTTATTTTGCTAAATTTTTTTTCACAGAGACTCGAATAAAACTGAATTAAATTATTACAATCACGAAAAGCGGTTTTAAGACATTCGTCACTTTGCAACTCAATAATTTTCATTTGTAAACAGCTTTCAACGTCATCAATATCAACTACAAACGGGTTCTGAAATAATTTAATTTTGAAGTCAATTGAACAAAAATCAGAAAATCTGGTTGAAAATTAATTTTGTAATTTTTCAACGATACTCATAAATTTTACTTTAACTTCTTCCCAGTTACATTGTTGAAATGTTTCCATGGCTTTTTTACAACAAACAAAATGATCTAATTTTTTTTCATCAATATGCTTGTAAAACAATTTTAATTTCACCGTAAATAATTTTATATCAGAGTACATATCCGGTAATAGTTTTTCTTTCCCTCAGGCCCAGATTAAGGCGTAAGCAGTGTAGGCTTCAGCCTACACAACCACGGATTTAGGGGCACGGGCACTACATACTATCCTTATTTTTTTTTCTAAACTAGAAAAATTGTACAATCTGTAAAATAGTTATTGACAATAAGCACAATACTATCCTGATGTTATTTTTATTTAAATAATATCGGAAATTTGAAATAGTAATAATCAATGCGTTTTGTCGTGCGGTCTTCTAAACCTCGTTTTATTTTTAGATTGTTATTTTTCCGTAGAACCGGTCGCACACCGATAACGTGTGTAGAGCCGCAGACGGCAGACAATGCCAGTGCGTTTACTTATTTATATTTGTCGTAGCTCGCCGCCGATGGTCATAAATTGGGTAAAATAGTATAAAATATTAAATAGTATTAGTATTTCGTATACACGCGTCACGTGCATCGAAAATTCGTCCGTTTGATTGTACGATTCGTACGCATGTTTAGTTAACACTATTGTAACTTGTAAATTTAAATTATAAAGGTTTTACTTTAGTGCGAGTAGTGCATTTTATATATAGTTTAGTGTTCGATATTTATGTAAAAATGGATCAGAAACGACATATTAGTGGAGCACAAGCGAGAAAGCGTGCAATTGATAAAAAAGAAAAAGAAGTGATTTTATTAAGTAAAATACCTAGGTTAAATAATTTTTTCAAACAAATAAATAACATTACCCCTAGTTGTGTTGAAGATAATAAACTAGAATCTTCAAATGATATAACTATTACTAATAATTGTTCTACTACTTCTACTTCTATTCAATGTACTGCGTCTTCTTCAGATCAATCAGTTGTTGATATAAATGAGGAATCAGAAAAATCTGAGCTAAATGTCATTCCTAATCCTCTTACGCAGAATAATACAAATAATTTTAAAGATCCAGCAGATTGGACAAATAGTAATATATGTCGTAATTATATTGCAAAATTTGGATATGATCAGAACATTGATGCAGATTTTACCTCATCAAAACGAACTTATTCTGATTATGATCGTTATTGTAGTAAATCAATCTTTACGAAAAATCGAAAAAAACGGAGAAAATGTTTCACGGAAATGGCTTGTTTATTCAATTTCAAAATTTGTATTATTTTGTGCTCCATGCAAATTATTTGGATGCAGTACTCAACTGGGAGATGCTGGATTTAATGATTGGAAAAATGGACATTTAGTTATTTCCAGGCACGAAAATTCTTTGGCACATAAAAATAATACATTAAGTTTTATTACATTACAAAGTGATGTAGGTAGAATTGACACTCAATTGGCAACACAAGTGACTGATGAAATTAATTACTGGAAAGCTGTTCTTCATCGAGTTGTTGAAGTAATTAAATTTCTCGGTGCAAAAGGTTTATCATTCAGAGGTGATAATGAACAATTTAACAAAATTAACAATGGGAACTTTTTGGGAACGTTAGAGTTACTTGCTAAATTTGACCCTTTTATTGCTCAACATATAGAAAAATATGGGAATAGAGGGAAAGGAACTCCGTCTTATTTATCATCCACAATCTATGAAGAACTTTTACTTTTGATGAAGAATGATATAATTAAAATTATATTAAAAGAATTAAAAGCAGCCAAGTATTATTCTTTAATTGTTGATTCTACACCTGATATAGCAAACATCGATCAACTTGTTATTGCATTAAGATATGTTTTACCTAGTGGTGTACCTGCAGAAAGATTTTTAATATTCATTCCAAACAGTGGTCATAAATCTAAAGAAATGAGCAATGTTGTAATGGATTTTCTTAATTCACACAATATACCAATTGAAAATTGTCGTGGCCAGAGCTACGACAATGCGAGGAATATGTCAGGTCAGTATTCTGGATTGCAGTCAAGAATTAAAAGTTTTAATTCATTTGCAGAGTATGTACCATGTTCTGCACATTCTCTTAACTTGGTCGGAACGTGTGCAGCAGAAAGTTGTAATTCTGCTACTTCATTTTTTATGCTTCTCCAGGAACTATACAATTTTTTTTCTAGTTCTACTGCACGTTGGGACATTTTAAAAACATATTTGAAGAAAAAATCTTAGTGTAAAAAATTTATCAGTAACTCGCTGGAGTGCTCGTTTTGATTCTTGCCATGCTTTATTTAATTCTTATGCATTTATAATTGAAGCTTTGCATAGTATAGTTGATAATCAGAAAGAAAAAACTGTATATAAAGTAGAAGCTAATGGGTTGCTTGCAAGATTAAAATCTTTAGAAACTGGTTTAATGATATGCATATGGAATTCAATATTAAACAGGTATTTTTCACTCTATAAATTAATTATTTTTAAATAATAAATTATGCTTTCATTTATTTTATTTTATTAGGGTCAGCTTAATAGATAAATAAATTCATATAAAGTTTAATATGATTTTAGTTTTAATGCTACAAATAAAAAATTACAATCAACTGACATTGATCTTCATACAGTATTAGAACTATATAATGGCCTTGAAAATTACTTGGTACAGATCAGAGATGATTTTGATGTTTTTGAAAATAAGGCTGTAGAAATTACTGGTTGTTCGGAGTATACCAAAGATTCCAAGAGAAAAAAAAAGAGAAAGGTATGTTTAACTTATTAATTTTAAAATACACATAAAATAATTTGAAAAAAGTCATAAACATTAACAACATTAAAAACTATTTTTTTTTTTTAGGCTATGGCTGATGAATCAAGATCTCAACCTCTCACAGAAATCACAGGGAAAATAGATTTTATTAGAAATGTATATTATGTGATAATTGATACTCTTAAATGTCAACTTAGTTCAAGAAGACAAGCTTATGAAAAAATATCAGATATTTATGGGTGTATACCCACATTGTATAAAACACCGAGTTCTATTGTTATAAGGAACACATGTGGAACTTTGGCAAAATATTTTATTGATGATGTTGAAAACTCAAGCTTACTTATAGATGAGTGTATTCTTTTTTCAAAATTAATTTCCACGGATAAAAATGTAAAATCTGTTCTCTCTATGTATAAGTACATCAAGACTAAAGAATTAGAGTGTATGTTTCCAAATTTAGAAATAGTTATGCGTATGTACCTTAGTACAGCAGTTTCAAACTGCTCAGGCGAAAGAGCTTTTTCTGTACTTAAAAGAGTAAAATCCTACTTGAGGTCAACCATGAAGGAGGAAAGACTGAATGCATTAGCAATATTTAGCGTTGAAGCAGAATTGGTTGAAAAATTAGATTTTAATGATACTATTAACACATTTGCCCATCAAAAAGCAAGAAAAAAGAAAAGTATAAAATAATGATTTGTTACTTTTTGTAATATGATTATTTTATATTTTTATATATCTAAAATATATTTTGTTTAATTTTAATTTTATGTTTTTACTTGTTTTCACATAGGTATTATATACATGTACATATTGATATGGCTAATAAACCTAAAATAAAGTTTTATTATTTATTCAAGTATCGAGTAGAGAAATGTGTACAATATTTTTTTTTAATTGGGGGCACCAAATTTTTTACAGCCTATGGGCACTATAGATCTTAATCCGGGCCTGCTTTCCCTTGTAATTTTACATTTAATTCATTTAAAAATGTGGTCATGTCAGTTAAAAAGGCAAGGTCGAGTATCCATTTTTTATCCAATAATTGGGGAACATTTTTTTCTTTTACATTCATAAATATATTTATTTCCTCTCTACGAGTAAAAAAACGTTTTAAAGCTGCACCCCTACTTAACCAACGAACTTCCGTAAAATAAATAACATCACCATATTCAGCTTCAATTTCTTCCAAAAACTGTTGGAATTGTCGATGAGCTAACCCATTTTTTTCGTATATAGTTTATGGTTGATATAACTGTATCCATGACATTTTTCCAAGCCAAGACTTTGCAACATAGTGCCTCTTGGTGTATGATACAATGAAAAACCATGGGCATTTCAAATTTATTATCAATCATTTTAGTCTTAATTCTCCCAACAAAACCTTTATGTATGCCACTCATATTTTTTTCTCCGTCAGTAGTAATACTTATTAATTTTTTCAACGAAAGCCCTAATTTTTCGAATGAATTTTCTATAATTTTAAATATATCTTCACCTGTTGTAGTGCCTTTTATACTACACATATCTGCTAACTCTTCATAAATATTAAACTTCTTGTCTATACCACGTATAAATATTAAAAGTTGAGCTGTCAGAAATATTTGTGCTCTCATCAATAGCTATCGAAAAACAGTCTAATGACGGTATATCTTTTAATTGGGAAAATAAATTATTTCCTAATTCCTCAGTTCGCCTCACACACGTTCGAGTCGAAAGACTAATTTCTTCAAATAGTTTTATTTTTTCTGGACATACTTCATTCGTTACAGCTAACATGCACTTTTTAAAAAACTCAATGTCAGTAAAAGGGCGATTGTTTTTTGCCAACATTTCAGCAACTACATAACTTGCTCGTACAGACGCTTCGTTACGTGTATTTTGGGATTTGAAAATATTTTGCTGGCTACCAAGAGATGTTAAAAAATGTTTTATTTTGTTTTGTCTTAATTCACCAGTTAAGTTTTCAAATTTTGCTTTATGCTCATTGTCGTAATGTCGCCTGACGTTGTATTCTTTCATTACTGTTATGGTTTTATTACAAATTAAACATAATAACTTACCACCGTGTTCGATAAAAAAGAAAAGTTCGATCCAATCTTCTTTAAAAATATGATGCTCATCGTTAATTTTTCGTTTAAGAGCCATAGAGTTACACGTACAAAAATTTGAAACACTGAATTGAGACGATTACACTTCACTAGAAAATCAATTCAGTAATACTAAGTCGTATTTCGTTTTATATAATAAATTATTATCGATGTTTAACGAAACGTAGATAACGTGTACAATGTTTCTATACATAATATCTATTTTTGTTCAATAATTGTATAACTAACTTCTCGTGAGAAATCCCAATTTTTATCGGCAAAGATAACGTGTTGTATAATATTTTTAAACTAACTATAAATTATTATCGCGGGCCGCATAAAATTGCTACGCGGGCCGCATACGGCCCATGGGCCGCGGGTTGCCGACCCCTGATTTAGATGGTGATGATGGTGGCAAAGGGTTGTAAATATTAACAAAAAATTGAAATCCATACTTTTTTATTTTTCACAGAAATATAAATTAAAATTATCTAAATAAATTGATAACATTGTTTATACATAATGTACCATCAATAGTAATTATTGGTTACAATGTATTACTATGATACAATTATTATTTAATAGTAATACACTAATCGTCTAAGGGAAAACTGAACGTCTACTACAAAATAAGGCCAAAATTAAAATTTATATAACTAATTACATTTAATGTTTATCCGCTAAGTGCTTGAGACTTGAGAGATACACTCATAACATATCCGTGAATTTTCAAAATAATGTTGAAAGTATACTGCGTACATGTAGTATACTCAATAGGAACACTACTCTAACGAATAATTTTAAACTAATATTTTAACAATTTTGCTGTTTCATACAAGTTACTATTATTAATAATTTAAACAATCGATACAAGTAGTTCAAACATAAAAATGTATATTATAAAACTTGCTCAGCATTGACAAACCCCAATAATATTTTAATCATATTATAATATAGGTTTATATATTACCTAAATAAATTATCGTAATAACGATTTACTAAACGCCAAACGCATAAACTGGTTACGATTTAATGAAATACAATTCTGTGCCTTATCTCGGTTATAATATATAATATATTATAGTTCGTTGCACTGCTGTTCGAGTATCCATTATTTTTAGTGACGCGTGTGCTGTGTATACCTATTCCGAGGGAGACTTTCGGTTGCATTTTTTTATGATAGAGTTGTTTGTGCAATCAACAGCCCAAAAACTGATAAATTAAAACACCGAATATAATATATATATATATATATATATTAAACTCCGAACCACTCTCCTTTCCCAATAACTATACATACATAATAAACATAATACAACACCACTGTGTAAACAAATATATAAGAGTTGCATTATGAATAAAGAAATGGACACAATAAATTCGAAGTTTTTTTAATATACATAACATATATTAGTCCGTCAAACTAATTGAAAATATTCATGTGTTTTATCAATATTAAAATATCGATTCACATAAAAACAAATTCAAATTGTATAAATGTTAGAAATGTACAACGAGACTAAATCGATTAATCGTATACTTTTGTCATTAATGTGTTGTTCATGATAATATTTTACGGTTTAATTTATTTTAAAACCATAAGCACATACTCTGCAGACCGACTATTGTATGTTTTGACTTAAATCTGTAGAGGCGGGTAAAAATTTTCCAAATACCACTGTCTCGTTCAAACGTGAATTTATAGAACTCTAGGTATACAACTATCTAATCATATTGAAAGTGCATATAATTTCAGAGTAATATAATACAGATAACATGAAAAAATATGAAATATATATGTTGTTTTTGTTTCGATGTTAATAAATCATTTAAATTATCGTTGAATTATATATGGTCGTATGGCTGCCGATTCTTCAACCATGACAACCGTTTATGGTGCACGTTGTTATTCGAATTACACGCGGCTACTGAAAACTATTACGTGGCTATTTTAATCTCGTGGACATTTAAACGAAACACAATTGTGCGTATTGTTACTATTATATTGTACTATCAATTCCTTATAGCCAGACGTCTCTGAGCATATTAAAACTCTCATCGTCAATGTCATCATGATGTTAGTTAATTGAAATGCTCTATGCGGGAATAATTGGTCAAAAACACCGGCTACACGCACACTAAACACAAATTATTCCTTCCATTTCACGGGATAATTTTTTTATTTCAACTCGCGATTTTTGTATAAATAATGTTATATTATTTGTTTATTGTTTTTAATGTTCTTAGAGTTGTTAATAAACAAAATAGTTTTTAAATCATATTCATCCTATATTTTCCATCATACAATTTTTTCAGATAAATATTTCCCAATTTTAGTGCACGTACAATGACTACATTTCCATTTTATATTGTCCCTATACTCACTTATTTTATTTAAAAACATATCAACTATAATTCTAATAAAATATAATTGAATTTCAAAATCAATAAACTGCTAGTATAAAAACTAACAATAATGATTTCAATGTTATAAGGGTACTTGGCAAGGTCTATTCTAAAAATTTTGGTCAACAACGTAATTATTTTACAAACCCCTATACACATTGTTACAATATGTATTTGGTATGCAATAGGTACATATTAAGTAGACGCTACACCTATATACCTGTAAAAATTAATTTTTATTTTGAGTTCTAATTCGAAATTACATCTAAATTAACCTGTGTAATAATTATAACTATATATATTATATATTATAAAAATTATACAAAAAAATTATTTTCTGTGTTTAAGTATTTACTAAAACTTTCTCTTTTTGTTACTTACTGGTATTTTGTTGTTGTTTTTTTTCATCGTGATATTTATGTTCTTTTGCTTCAAATTTTCCTATAAACCATAATTGTTCTTTTTCTCTGTTAATATTTTTTCACCCACCTTTCATTCAGCTTAGATTAGATTTGGTTTTATTCAGCCAGAACTGTTTTGATTAATGATTTGATGAATTTGATGATCAAATATACATAGTTGTACAACAGGGCAAAATTAATTCTCAACAACGCATATAGCGCTCAACAGCACCATAGAATAAACCCTGGTACTTGATACTTCTATGATAGTAGTTAACTCTTCAACTATAAATCATATTAAAAATGTATTAAAATATTATTTAATTTAAAATATGTTCAAAATTAGCATTCAATTTTTATGCATGAATTTACGTAACAAATTATATTGCTTTTACTGATTAGCTTTATAATGTTTGAAAGAAATATGGTAAAGCAATCAAACAAGTAGTAGAAAGAATAATTTCAACAAAAGATTGATCGGATGACCCCAGATGAAATGGAAAAACATTGTGAAAAAGGTATTTAGAGCAGACCCAGGATAATGCACAAATAAAGGTGACGTATAGTGATGGGAAAAATCCGGATTCGCTGAAGTTTGAAAATTCGGATTTTTGAAGTTTGAAATCCAAAATCCGGATTTTTCTGTAAACCCGAATTTCGGATTCTAAAATCCGGACTTTGCATTGAATCCGGATTTCGGATTTGAAAACATTGAATTAGTATTTTTTCAAGAGCTATTTATAGTAAATAAAAAATAATTAAACATTCTCAAAATTAAATGATATTTTGATCTAAC